CCGCGCGAGCCGAGCGGCGTGCGGGCGCCCTGGCTCCCCGCGCTGCTCTGCGTGTCTGACCAGACCTGCCAGCGGGCGCCAGCCTGGCACGGCTCGCAGGGCAGCTGCTCCGCTTGAGTGTGAGTGTGAGCCTGCACTCCTGTGTACTCTAGGGGAGGGTGGGCCGTGGGCCTGGGTATGCTCAAGGTGTACAGGCATCTGCAGATGTGCCTTTACATAATATTATTATTATTATATTATAAATAATAATAAGTTGTTATTATTATTATTATTATTATTATTATTATTATTATTATTCATGCTTATATAGTGCTTTTTTGGACACTCCACTCAAAGCAGAATCCCACTACCACCACCAGTGTGCAGCCCCCCCCACCTGGATGAGGCGCCAATCCGCTCCCCACACACCAGCTCTCAGTGGGGAGAAGAGCAGAGTGATGGAGCCAGTTCAGAGAGGGGGGTTATTAGGAGGCCAGGGGGGAAGTTTGGCCAGGACACCGGGGTAACACCCCTACTCTTTTCGAGAAACGCCCTGGGATTTTTAAGGACCACAGAGAGTCGGGACCTCGGTTTTACGTCTCATCCGAAGGACAGCGCCTTTTCACGTTATATCGTCCCCATCACTATTCTAGGGCGTTAGGACCCACACAGACCCCACGGTGATCACCCCCCTCCTGGCCCCACTAAGACCGCTTCCAGCAGCAACTGTAGTTTTTTTTTTTCCAGGTCTCCCATCCAGTTACTGACCAGGCTCACGCCAGCTGAGCTCCAGTGGGGCTGCCAGCTGTGAATTGCAGGGTGTTGTAGCTGCTGGCAGGCCTGTCTTGCACAGTTAAAACCGACCTGGCTCAGGTTTGCATTGGGGTTATGGGACAGCTTACCAAGCCCAGGAAAATCACCTCCAGTTGCTCTCGCACTGATGGATGAGTGTCTGGAGAAGCAGTATATTCAGGCACAGCAGCGCTCATCCCTTGGGGAAGATTTATTTTGGTTATTTTCGTCTTCCATTATGCTCCTCACTGCAGGCGGATGCAAGGGACTGCATGGCTTTATGCTGTGAATACTAACAGGCAGGTAATCAGGCTGCTGTGATAGAGCCACTCCCATTGTGCATCCCTCCACGAGTGTCCGTATCCGTGCAGAATGCTAATAGGCCGGGGGCCATGTGCTGCAGCCTTCTCCCAGCTTCCTGTGGCCTTGGCAGCGCCAAGTCCTCTTTCATTCCCAGCCGTTTCGCACTGAAAGGTACTAGAAATTCGCTTCGCTTGGAAAACAAGCCCGTGGCTCAACGCTTAAAAGGGCCCGTCGGTTAGGAAAGACAGTTGGACCTGGTTGTTCAGCAGGAGCTGTGCGGGGGGGGAACATTTTGCCAGTGACAGACGAGTTTTTGTTTTTATTCTATTGCCCGGAGCGACCGTTCCCATCTTCCCTTTGAGTTGACACGAGTGGCCCATGTGGGGGGGGTTGGTCAAGTTGAAGAAACGCAGCCGGCGAGGGTTAATATCTCTGCCCCGCCTGCACACGTCCCTATAGCGGAGATTAGATTGGGGCGGAGCGGGGG